TATATATTATTTTTTATTTTTTTCTATTGTAATAATTGAGAACCAATCTGTATGTATATCTGATTTCTGGTTGATATGTTTTCCCCCAAAAGGCAGTGTTCAGGGTACAAAATGATCTTATGGGTTCACTTCATTTGTAATTATTGATCTGCACTGTGTATGGTGACATGTCCCCCCTTAATATTGTCTTTCTTAGATGTGGATGAATGTGTGACTGGAACGCACAACTGCACCGGAACTGAGACCTGCTTCAATATTCAGGGAGGGTTCAGATGCTTGTCATTTGAATGCCCCAAGAATTACCGCAAAGCCACTGAAACGTAAGTGAAGCCTAATCTATTTTCTTTCTTGTCTTGAAACCCCACCATTATGTTGCTTCCCAGCTGCTGCTAATATTCCACTGGCCAGATGAGAAAAATGCCGTCAGACACAGTAGTTCCTGCTGCCAGCTCATCCTGTGTGGCATATGAGCCAGCGGGGCTGTGTGCTGTGGGAGTAGCAGGAATTCACACACCCGGAAGTGTTGAATATTTGTGGCGGCTGGGCAGCAGAATCACAGCCATGTTTCGAGACACAGGCAACCAGAAAGGTGGTTCCCATTGCATACAAGTGTAGACATATTATTCATAGCATGTCTGGTCTTCTTGTCACAGTTTCTTTGTATATTTCTAGTGAATTCATAAGGTGAAGTAAAGAGTACCTGTGTTCAATTCAAACATCCAAAGTAGATGTGTAATCCTTGACACATGATTGAATGTTTGACACCTCGTGTTTATCACATGTGCTGTCTAAATGCAAATACATTTGGAAATACGGTTTTCTGCGCAAAGCATTCCAACCACTGTGCAGCATATGAAAACGTAAAAGCCAAAACACAGGTCAATGCACCAAAATATTACATACAGCATTTTTCATCAATAGAATCTTTTTAAAAGTGCAACATGCTGAAAACACCTGCATTATGGAGCAAACAAGCCTTAATGTAATCTCATATGTACCGCACTTTACCTCAGTAGACGTATAACTATATAGACACAAAACAGTTGTTTCTGTTTCTTTTATTTTTAATACAATGGACTGTGTATTTTTAACAGTCAGCAGGCATAGTTTCTAGTGCTCTCCCTATAGATGACCATACATAGTATAATCTGATTAAGCAGACTACTTAAAGTTTTTTTAGGTAGGCCTTCACATTATACAGTTTTGCCAAATGTAGAGGAGATTGTACAATCACACTTCAACATGTACAGCCGTGTTGCAGTGTGATTGTACAATCTCCTCTACATTTGCCAAAACTGTATAATGTGAAAGCCTACCTAAAAAAAACAAAAACAATTTAGGGTAGGGGTAGTCAAACTTCGGGCCTCCAGTTGATGTGAAACTACAAGTCCCAAAAGACATTGCAAGACTCTGACAGCCACAGACATGACTTCCAGAGGCAGATGCATGATGGGATTTGTTGTGTCATCACAGCTAGAGAGCCAAAGGTTGTACACTCTTGATTTAGGGGCTCATGTAGATGGCCCTTTTTGTCACAGCCTTTTACATTCAAATGTAACGCTGCTTAAGCACATGGGTTTGAATGCAAAATGCAACATTTAACAAGAAAAATGTGTGTTTGACCTGCCTGGCCTGCAATTAAAACTAATTGTGAGAGATAATTTGCATATTGTAGGTCACAAAATGTTTAAAAATCATTGCACAAAGTTTTATTTGCCTTTTGTTATGTACTCAAAGCTTTCTTATAAACTTAGATTGAACTAAAAAAAAAAAATCCTTGCACAGCATCGCCTACAAAAGAGAGGCAGCCATTCTGGAGGCTGAAACAATGTTCATCTTACCTATGAGCAAGTTAAAGCAAGCTGCATCATTATATATAATGGGTCCGCCAACAAAATGGCTTCCTCCACAGCCAACAAAATGGCTGCCTCAGTTTGGAGCTGTTTCTGTAATATAATATAAACATTTGAGAATTTTTTTTTTTTTTTTAGATGTTAGGATTCAAATCCACCAGCCTAAGGCCCCCTTTCACACGGGTGTCCGCCCATTCCAGAGCAGTATGGAACGGAAGACACAAAAGTGACGTATGCTTCTGTTCATTTTTTTCCTTCATCTCATGATGGAGTTAAAAATTGAGCTGTGCAGACCCATGTTAGATTTATGGATAGGCAGATGTAAATCCATGCTGTTTGGCCAGGAAGCCGGCTTACCGGCGAGTACCGAAAGATAAATATCGGTACTCGTACTCAATACCGAAAAACTGGTATCGGTGCATCCCTAGTAAATTGACTGGTGTCCGTTTACATCCTTTTACCACCAATCTGATATGTTCAGGTCTGCAAAGGCATTTGCGGACCTAGACAGACTGGCAGATCTGATTGGAAATGCCGCCTGAAAAACGGCCTTAGACCTAACTTGGAGAACTCTGTGGATCACTGTCAGCCAGACCCTCACCCTAATGAGATGCCTCATTGACATGGCTGCTGAACAACAAAATGCCTGCTGAATACCTTGGCAGGGCTGTGGATTTAGCAGCCATTAGTTCAGAAAGCGCTGATTCACAGAAAGCTGCCCATTCCTGCATTATTTTTGGCATTAAAGTGTATTTGTGTGGTTTGTTCATTCGCTCCGTGCTTCATACTTATAAATGTTGGCTGCTCCTGCATTTACATCCAATTGATTGTTCGGTTTTCAAGGCCTGCTGACAAGTCATGTTTTAGGGATATCTTTGAAGTTCAGTAATTTAATTAATGAATAGGCATAACTGGAAACATATCCCTGTAAACTGGACTTGTACAGTGCGAGTTGCCTAAACACAGAGACAGACAGACATTTTATGGCCTGAGTTGATATTGCAGTCTGTCAGTTCACTGCTGACATCACTGAGGTACTTCAAAAGAGGAACCTTACGCACACATCTAATGTCTACCAAAACAGTCACTCTTATTTAAGGCAGGACAACTGTCAAGGTTGCACGTGTGCTTATTTCAGCTCTCAGCTGAACTTTTAAGCCATCAAATGGCTGGTGTCATAGCTAATCACATGTGCAGCACCATGTAACTGCAATCTAAATAGAGGCTAAGATGGCACCTTCCTTGGCAGTAAAGGATAGCAGGTTGTAGTTCTGCTTTAAATTATAGATGAGGTATAACTTATACACAAGCTATAAAACATATATTTTATAGGTGTAAAATTTCAATGAGGTACTTGAATCATATCTGAAATGCTTCAACGCGCCTGTATTTCAGTGGCTGGACTGCTAGAAATCAGATCAAAAGTTTTTTTATTTTCAAACATAATAGATGCAATGTGACTTTTAAAAAAAAAACTAAGACCCAGTGATCTCAGTACTTCTTGGTTGGCTGCGTATTTTCTCACAAAATGGCTACCTTCATTTTGTTCAGGTGCTTCTTAAAGGGGAACTCAGGATGATTGGCACTTAAACACAAAAGCTCAAAACTCCAGTTTATATTGTAATCCCAGATTTCTTATGAACTTTTGGCCTGGGCCATCCTACCATGAGGAAAATTGAGAATTATCTTGCTATTGGCCCCCACCACAGGTAGAACAAACTTCATGGCATACTAATCTGCTACTTTGTGCCTATTTGAGTAAGGGAACAACGTTGGGCCTATATGTCAGGCATGGTAGAGCGGCATTTCAAGCAATGCTCCAGGTGGCATCGAAAGGGAATCTATCATGAAGACAGACACATCTGAGAATGTGCAACCTCCAATGAAGCTGCCATTTTCTGTGTCCTCATCCTCGTCCCCATACTAGTTCTAGAACAGCAAAGCTGTATCTATCTAATGCACAGTTTTGCTGTGGGGCTAGTGTACAGCCAAGGAATCGGAGAATGAATGCTTCCATCTGAGTCTCCCTACATGGGTACATTTCAGGATAGATCCTATTTATTCTAATGGTTCTGGGAAGTAAGTTCCTTAGAAATGTCAGAGAGTTGAGGCACTATCGGGGATCATTGGGCCTCTAGTACAAAGCAGGAAGTAAGAAAAATGTTCATTTCCTATAACAACCAGCCACATTCCCATTCTCTTTTAGTGTGATATTATTAAGGAATGCTGAGATGTTATTCACATTTTGCATTGCAGTAACCTGTGGTAAGTCACGCATTCATCTGCACGTTACTGCAGTGAATGTTAACACATAGAACATTTTAAATGGCACCACAAAGCACCTAGCCAACCGGTACAGTGCACCACAATGCATAGACAAAACCATCTGTGTTGGGGAATGCTATAATGGGAAAAAATGGTGGGGGCCTGCTAAACCTTGCCTTAAAAAAACCCTGCCAGGCCTCCAATCAAATAAAACTGCCAGTTCCCTGCAGGAGCAGAATTAGTATACTCGCCTCTCAGGCAGCCTTTGTCTCCTACCTCTGCTGCACCTGCTGTAATTTTCTTTGGTATTCTGACACTTCTAGGAGCATTTGATGCCTGTGTTCCCTGCTGCATTCTGCCATTCCTCCTCTGAGCCCTGGGTCACTGTTAAGTCTTATGGTGACACGGGTTGACGGAAGGAACTACAGAACAGACAGAGGGTGGATATAGACATCTAAAACTTCCAGACGTTTGAATGCTGAAGACAATTACGGAGGCTCTAGTGCTGGAACTGGCAGACGGTAGACGACATAAGTTGCCAGAGAGGTGTGTATACTGCTTCTTTTCTTGCAGGGAATTAGCAGTTTTATTTGTTTATAAACCTGACAAGGTTTAAGGCAACACAACAGTCTGAATGGCCTTGATTTGACTAGCTGGTCTTAGAAACACCATATTCCTTTCCTTTTAGTTTTCTACAAATAATGGCAAAACCAATGGTGTCCCTCTAAATTTATAGTTTCTGAATCAGGTAAAAAGAAAAGTTCCCTTTTAAGCCTGCTCCTGAAAACTGGTTCTTCACACCACCCAGACTGTTATCTCTCCTGCTCGGCTGACACGCTTGCTTTATGCACACTAATTCTTCTCTGTTCTTGTCTCTCACTTTTCTTGCAGCCGCTGCGAGCGCATGCCTTGTTTTGACAGTGAGTGCCAGAGCCAGCCCCTGAGAATAACTTACCACCACCTATCCTTCCCAACCAACGTCCCCATCCCTACCGACATTTTCCGCATGGGCCCCTCCCATGTCCTCGTGGGCGATAGCATTCAGCTGTCCATCATCAGCGGGAACGAGAAGGGGTATTTCGTCACAAAAACCGACAACGCCCACAGTGGCCTCGTGGCCGTCCAACATTCCTTCACAGAGCCCCAGGACTTCCTCCTCACTATCCAGATGAATCTGATCCGACATGGGACCTTGACCACGT